AAATCTTATTTAATGAGCTCCCCTTACTGGATAATAGAAGCATGAAAAAATTGAAATTATGAATAAACCAAAGTCTCAGTTATCACCACATCTAATTTATTGCATTAAAAAAAAATGAAAACAATAAGAGATCCAATGATTCTTAAAGTACTAACAAAAATTGCTCACATTACTCACATTTTTTATATCACTTCATAACCAATGCACAGTCTTTAATTTCCTAAAACGTTACCATTGTGTTTAGGTTCTAAATAGTAGTCTTATTTCTCTCTCTTAATTATTGACAAATTCTACCGTATAAATGTCAGAAAGTGTGGTTGCAAACCAAGCTAGAGCGCTGCTTTCAAAAATAGGTACCTCATCTTCGCAGTAGTCTCAGATTATAGTCGTTCTTAATTTCTTCATAAAATATACTTAATTTATGCTGTGTTATAACTATGTTGCATAGTTAGTGCAAATAGGACTAGATTAGCTATCTTCTGTCTTCATGGAAACTTTCTGTATGAAATTGAACTTAATCAACATTATATCCATTGAACGATCTCATTTCTTTTTCTCATGAATACAATTATTATAAGGTTAGTTATATAAGTACTTATAATGTTTACCTCTCAGTGGATAATATTATGGACATCTTCATATCTCTGATAAGTTATCTTATAAATAACGAGAGTGCAAATAAGACAATTGAGCTTATAGCTTCTACAAACACATCGCATTCCGTTTTGAGGATATTCTTTGCAGAGATAGTACTTATTAATATTTCCTTTCTATTTCTTTTTTAGCATATTCCATATGAAGAAGAAGTAAATTGTTTATGTTGAGACCTCTCCTAGATCCACTAATTTAATGTAAACTGTACTGTTACTTATAAAGGCAGTATATATTCATTTATTTAAATGAAATCTCACTTAGGAGAATGCCCTGAATCAATAAAACTCAATGTAGTCGATGTACACCAGATAATTAGAATTATAATTTAACTAATTATGTTTTGATATTAAAAGTATATTAGTGTTATCATTTATTAGTGTTAATAGTAGTAAGTATTTGGAGAATGTTCTAAAAATGAATTGATTAATTTTTGTAAATGAACAAAATGTATTTGGACTTTGTATTACGCACTGCAGACTCTAGAACATATTTATATTTTTATTTCACACATCTACGATTCCGTCTTTAACTGATCTTTAAATACCAATTTTTACTTATATTAATATAGCAATAATTAACCATCAATTCACAACTTACTTTGAAGAACTAACGCGGAAGTAACCATCTCGAAGATCTTAGTGAATGAATGAATCAGTGAATTACCCGAATAGAATAGAATGAGCGATGTCGAACTCTGCATCTTGTTTTCACTAAAATGTCATCCAAGCAAACAGACATATAAAATGTAATAGTCATAGTCATGTAATTTTACATAAACATTACAGAATTACAAGAGTCTAATGGAATCTTTTTCAATATATTTTTTAATAAATTATGAGCAGAAAGTACATATGGTATTTAATTTCTCGTGAAGAAAGTATTTCATACATATACTGTTAAAAATGTGACTTGACCTCGAACGCAAGGTTACTCAGTTAAATAATTGGATAGACCGATAGACCTATGAAATGAATATGTCTCAAGCATGCCGATAAAAGTAGGTATCGGTGTGCTTAGTTGGCAATGTATACTAACTTCTATTAAAGAGTACTAATCAGCTAAGTTCTTTCATATATACATTGAAGCTTTTATAGTTCTGCGGCCGCCAAACTTATACACCTACAAAGTTAACTTACAAGTATTTTTTTTAATCTAGTTTTTTTTCTACTTCATTTTTTAACAAATTTAAAATAACTTTACATTATTATATTTTTTATAATATATTATATCTGAATAAATTTTTGGTAAGATTTTTGGTAAAAAATTTGAGTAATTCCGCCAATTACTGCCCAGTATAAAACAAAAAGATCACATCCAGTAAAGTTCAAGGAATCTTCTGTTCTAAGTAATATAGAAAAAGTTTCGTTTCTCTACTGATGAGCTAATTATGTTTGTTAATAATAGTGTCTGTGTTTTCCAGATTCTTAAGCCGCTAAAGCCACTTTTGCGTATAAAGGATCAACTTGCGAAGGATGCCGCTAACTTCTCTACAGCGAACCGAAATACTTCGTCATTGTGTGATAATTGGAACCTTTTTTGGTTTAATAAAAAACAGCTTTTTTATTCTAATTGACTTGCTCCAGACCATATTAGCATTTTGCCACCACAATATTGCCCCCTCCGTCTCGCCTATTATTTGGTGGTTGGTAACGGGTTTATTTGGACTCGCTGGTATCGTACTATTATCTTGGCAAATTCAAATAAAATGTAAACCCCTATTCATGAAATTACGCCTTAAGGGACTGGCCCAACTATTTGCAGTGGAACTTTGCAAGTTCAGACCACTCACATATCGTCATAGAGCATATATTCAGTCACTGTTATATGAAGACCAAAACTTACGTGCAATTTTAATTGAATTTTCTGAAGCAGTGAACGAATTGAGTTTAGGAGAGATAAAATATATGATTGGGACAAATAGAAGAACGAGACAGCTTTGTGGATATTTAAGTATATATATCACTTTACTCCTTGATCTGTAAATTGAAGCGTAATGAAAAGGCTGCGTTAATTTTGCTTTAAATTTAAGGAGTAAATTTAAAATTAATGGGTAAATGAATCATAGATTTTATTTGATATGTCGTTTTATCTTTAAAAACAATTTCAAATATTAAATAATAAATCAGAAATAGCAAATAAAATAAACCATATCAAAATGCGTATAAATATTTTAAAGAACTATAATCAAGCCAAAGTAAGTTGCCAATGTAATGTCTACCAATGTAATGGCGACCAATTTTCTCGGAAATGAAATGCAAAGCAACCGATTGGATATGATGACGGACAGGCTAGAGATATGCATTTAAAAAGTGCATATATATTTTAATCTCGCTATAGGGCGTTCCTTTCTATAATGAAGTTTTTTCAGGTACGCAAACAAACTCAACTAGCACGTTTCAACTTATGAGCTGGTGTATATGTTCTGCAGTTTATAATAGGGAAGAATGATGTTTTCTCGGAAGATTGCATGTATCTAAAAGAAGTGTGGTTGAATTGCAGCGTTGATATAATCGGTGTATCTTTTAACAATTTTATTAATATTGAAACAATGACATAGTCGCCATAGCCCATACTGCGAATGAAGACCATATCTTTTCTGTATGAAATAATTTTTTATTTATCCATTTACCCTAACTTAAAGTGACTTGAGGTGATCTTTCGGTATTCTAGCCCATTCCTGAACAATGAATTTATTCAACGCATTCATACTGGTATATTTTTTAGCCCTTCTCATTGTGTGAACGAAATGAAGTGTTGAACATGATAATGCCGACGATGATGAGAATTTTCTTCCATGTGTTTTGTTCTTGGCCTTTATAAAAGACAGTACTATATGTCATAAAGACTGAGCCTAAATGTTTTATCTGCTTTCCAGCACAGTCGATAATCTGTGTTTCAAGAGAGCGCCATCTTATTAAAATATTAACGTTTGCCATTCCAACTCATCAGATAACCTAGGAATAGACTAAGCTCTCTTTTTGCGGGAAGGAACATCTTACTACGAGAAGTAGAGACAAATCAGGTCTTTAATTTGCTGATTATTTGGAGTGTCACACCAATGTTAACTCATTTCAGTTTCACATTAGAGAGTTGCTAATGAGACTTCTTATTCCACAATAAGGATCTGATCCACAGAATTGAATAACTGATTTAGTTTATATAAGACTGCGTGTTATTGATCGTTGACACAATCCCTTTGATTCCAGTGTGACCAGGCATTCAATGGAGTACTATACTGTCCTTGCTTGTCAATTGTTGTAGCATGTCATAGTAGTCTGCACTTCAATGCCTAAATAGTTCAGACATATAACTAGAAATAAATACTATGTTATATGCTTGCACAATATTATATGAACGTGAAAAGTATTTCTATAGTAATCTTTTCATATGTGAATATTTATTTTAATTGTCAAGACAATTACTATCGTTCCTAAATTATTTTGACGTGGAGGTCTTGTCACAATTGTTTATTAAACCCTGAAAAACTACACAATACTATGTTAAAAGGTATGTGCCTAATTAGTAGACTCTATAGTACTTTAAACACATGTTTTCATTTTGCTATTAAAATTCTCAAAACCCTCATAACAGTATTTTAGATTTCAAAAAAAAAATTATAAGTTAGCTTAGTTTAATTCAAAAATTAAATGTTAAATAAAAAACTATAGATTTCAGTTATATTATTTTTGTCAAAAGTAAGGTCAAAATTTTTAGTTCATTAAAAAAAAATGCGTGTTGTAAGGAAACGTAAGTCCCATAAGGTTCATAAAGTCAAAACTATAACAAGAAAAATATTTAGAGCTGAATTTACTTCCATTAAAAGCTCCCGTGGTCGAACAGGGTTGGAGATCTTACGTGAAGCTGTAATTTAAGATAATAAAGATATAAAACTTATTTGCTTACAATTTTAATTTCACAGGAAATGGAAGAAAATCGCAAAAAAAGAAAAAAGAAAAAGGTTCGGTTTTGAAAAAAATGGTAAGAACTATAGAAATAAGATCCACAAGTTTTTAAGTGGTATTTTGTGGAAGGGTGAGCTACGAACCACTTAAGCAGAACATCACAACCATACAAGCACAAATAAAAGACACATGACACAGCCTACAACCCGGTAGAGTTTCTGAGTCTGGAAGAAACTGCTACTGTGAAGTCTTAAACACTTGCTCGCCTCTAATTGAATCATGTAAGATTGCAATAAATGCTACACAATTACTAAAAAGAAAGATAAGTGCACATTTCTACAAGGTAAGTCATTTTCTTTTTTTTGCAAAAGGGTTATAAGGAATTCTTTTATAATATATTTAAAGACTTCAACGTATAAAACAGAAATCACAGATCATGAAAATCTTTTGAAATGTAACACACACTAATACGATTAGCAATAAAAATAATTTAGAGGTGGATTCGGAGAAGGCTAAAATTCTCTATAAGCATGGAAAAATCCAGTAAGCAAAGTTTTCAAAAGTCGATGGGGGCGTTTACTAATCTCACAACTTATTTTTATAATTGTTCCTATCTATAGCTTAGGAAATATGGTAAATACAAACCAAACACAAACAGGTATACAGATATACAGCACAGGTATAGTATAATTGTGATCTCACCTATTCAGTTAAAATCATCATTGATATATTTTTCAAGTGCGAGTTTAACCTCGCACCTGTTTAGCAACATGGAGAGAAATTCTTTATGCTCAATTACCATATCTTATTAAAATTAAAATTAGAAAAGTGTTTGAAGACCCAACTATAAAAATTTGATATATAAATTGTTTTAATTGATTTGGGGACAGAAAAGAGAAAGTCGTCTCACTATCAAATCAGATGCTGCAAGCAAAATCGACCTGGAAATGATATTACAAAAAGTCACGAGGTTGGAGTATATAATTATAAGCAACATACCAATTTTTAAGACTTGCAAAATCTTCTCGATGAAATGGTTCTGATACTGGTAAGTAACACAAAAATTATCACAGATATTATATATTCATCAAGAATTCAATCAAATTTAACACAACTGTAGACAACTCACTCAAGTAAATAGACCATATATCGAGAAGAATCTATAATAAAATCCTTTCGGAGAGCGTTCACTTACTTTTTCACACACTCTACGAAATATGTGTAGTCCTGAAGCAATCTAAAAATTAATTATACTCATAAGAAATTAAATGTGACTTAAAATTAAATTAATTTCAAATTTTAATTTAAATGTAGCTCTTTCGGGAAATGTCGACACAATCAAGTGCAGAACTGATGAGTTGCCCAATGGCTGATGGGGTAACTATTCTGACTTAGGTTCAATTCTAATTAATAAGTAAACGATCCATAGCCTTTGGATAACGTAAAATAAAACCTAACAAATCTGAATTTAATGGACACCATCGAAAAAATAATCAAGCAGAAGTAAAAAAAAGGAAAACATCGGAATTATAAATAGAAATTTCCTTATAAAATATTTTTCGATGAGGTTCGCAGAGTTAATGAATATATAACTGCAATATTGATGACTGCTAGAGAAGCGGGATGAGAACATGACGACAAGTAGTGGAAGATCCACCTGAAAATGAAATTAATAACTTATTAAATGAAGAATTAAATGAAGATATTTATAACAGGTTCAATGTATTTCTTCCAATTCTTTGGTAGAGTGTTAACTGTTGCAGAATTCAAAAAATCGAAATCAATTAATTTTTTCCATTTCGTTTATGGAATGTAGTATGCCTTTAAGTAGTGAAAGTAATCCACCGTTTCCAACTTAAAATGTATCAAATTACTTAAATTAAAGAATACATAAGGTATATTTAAACAACCTAATCTCCAAGAGAGATAGTTCTGGACACTATCAGGAAAAAGTACACATTTAATATATTCAAATATACTTAGAGATCAGGAATGTAATAACATTTACTTCTACTTTAAGGATAAAGTTGGGATTGCTGCTGTTCTTAGAAATATACTAGAAATGTTTGACCTGCGAATAATGGCAAGACAAAGTTATTAGGCAGAAGTCGAGACATGTGTCACAAAGAAAGTTTAAAACAACATTTTATGAAATTCGACGGTGCCAGTAAAAAACTCAACGTCTTAGAGTTCACAAAATGAATTAACCGGGTTTCCAATCACACAAATGTACCATATGGTCGTACACAATATCAGATTTTCTTAGTGTGGCTGGGTGTTTTCTATTTGCTAGTGCTATAGCCCAGTATAGTCCAAGGCATTGAAGAGAAACTTGTAATATGTATGAAAATTGGAATAGTGACAAAAACCGTAAGCCCAGTATTTTCAACAATCTTCATATGTTAAAAAATGAGGAAAGGACCTTAACATTCAACGTCATTATAATCCTTATAACCAATTTTATATTACAATTAAATTAGTTTTAAGCAACAAAAGAAATATATTTTTTAAATAAAAATATTTGGTACCGTAATTATTATCGAGCCTGGTTCATTTTTCGTTAATTGTGTGGATACAGAACCATAAACTTTATTTGATTGAATCCAGAAGTGTGAAATAGGTCTTTGGAATCACAAACGAAAATTGGGGTAGTTAAATAGTCAATATGTTACAACAAGATTTCAGAAATAATAAATATTTTAAGTATTTCTGGATGTTATTAGATTACTCGTACTACAAGCCTTTATTGGAGAGTCAAAATAATTTTTCTAAATAACATGAAACCGATGTGGAGTTTTTCTTTAAAAATTTTTTTATATCGGTAATAAATACAATTGTGTGGTTATAAATACAATAAGACTAGATAAGAGCTCCCGATAGCAGATTGATCAATGTCAGACGAATTTTATTTAGACATTAATAAATAAGCTTCATATATAAGTGATATCCGAAAGGAAGAAATCTTATTTAATGAGCTCCCCTTACTGGATAATAGAAGAATGAAAAAATTGAAATTATGAATAAACCAAAGTCTCAGTTATCACCACATCTAATTTATTACATTAAAAAAAAATGAAAACAATAAGAGATCCAATGATTCTTAAAGTACTAACAAAAATTGCTCACATTACTCACATTTTTTATATCACTTCATAACCAATGCACAGTCTTTAATTTCCTAAAACGTTACCATTGTGTTTAGGTTCTAAATAGTAGTCTTATTTCTCTCTCTTAATTATTGACAAAACTCAGTCAATTTAAAAATTTCCATTATCATAGTGTCTGTCATATATCAAATTCTACCGTATAAATGTCAGAAAGTGTGGTTGCAAACCAAGCTAGAGCGCTGCTTTCAAAAATAGGTACCTCATCTTCGCAGTAGTCTCAGATTATAGTCGTTCTTAATTTCTTCATAAAATATACTTAATTTATGCTGTGTTATAACTATGTTGCATAGTTAGTGCAAATAGGACTAGATTAGCTATCTTCTGTCTTCATGGAAACTTTCTGCATGAAATTGAACTTAATCAACATTATATCCATTGAACGATCTCATTTCTTTTTCTCATGAATACAATTATTATAAGGTTAGTTTTATAAGTACTTATAATGTTTACCTCTCAGCGGATAATATTATGGACATCTTCATATCTCTGATAAGTTATCTTATAAATAACGAGAGTGCAAATAAGACAATTGAGCTTATAGCTTCTACAAACACATCGCATTCCGTTTTGAGGATATTCTTTGCAGAGATAGTACTTATTAATATTTCCTTTCTATTTCTTTTTTAGCATATTCCATATGAAGAAGAAGTAAATTGTTTATGTTGAGACCTCTCCTAGATCCACTAATTTAATGTAAACTGTACTGTTACTGTATAAAGTATTCGTATTATCTAATATTTTGTAGCTACCAATAAGTTGCTATGAATTTCGTCTATTTTTGTGCATATGTTTTAAATAATTCTTATTATCTTAATCGGATAAATTTTGTCTAACATAAAATCGTATTTTAAGTAAAGTAGGCATGAGACAGTCATTTATTTAAATGAAATCTCACTTAGGAGAATGCCCTGAATCAATAAAACTCAATGTAGTCGATGTACACCAGATAATTAGAATTATAATTTAACTAATTATGTTTTGATATTAAAAGTATATTAGTGTTATCATTTATTAGTGTTAATAGTAGTAAGTATTTGGAGAATGTTCTAAAAATGAATTGATTAATTTTTGTAAATGAACAAAATGTATTTGGACTTTGTATTACGCACTGCAGACTCTAGAACATATTTATATTTTTATTTCACACATCTACGATTCCGTCTTTAACTGATCTTTAAATACCAATTTTTACTTATATTAATATAGCAATAATTAACCATCAATTCACAACTTACTTTGAAGAACTAACGCGGAAGTAACCATCTCGAAGATCTTAGTGAATGAATGAATCAGTGAATTACCCGAATAGAATAGAATGAGCGATGTCGAACTCTGCATCTTGTTTTCACTAAAATGTCATCTAAGCAAACAGACATATAAAATGTAATAGTTATAGTCATGTAATTTTACATGAACATTACAGAATTACAAGAGTCTAATGGAATCTTTTTCAATATATTTTTTAATAAATTATGAGCAGAAAGTACATATGGTATTTAATTTCTCGTGAAGAAAGTATTTCATACATATACTGTTAAAAATGTGACTTGACCTCGAACGCAAGGTTACTCAGTTAAATAATTGGATAGACCGATAGACCTATGAAATGAATATGTCTCAAGCATGCCGATAAAAGTAGGTATCGGTGTGCTTAGTTGGCAATGTATACTAACTTCTATTAAAGAGTACTAATCAGCTAAGTTCTTTCATATATACATTGAAGCTTTTATAGTTCTGCGGCCGCCAAACTTATACACCTACAAAGTTAACTTACAAGTATTTTTTTTAATCTAGTTTTTTTTCTACTTCATTTTTTAACAAATTTAAAATAACTTTACATTATTATATTTTTTATAATATATTATATCTGAATAAATTTTTGGTAAGATTTTTTGGTAAAAAATTTGAGTACTTCCGCCAATTACTGCCCAGTATAAAACAAAAAGATCACATCCAGTAAAGTTCAAGGAATCTTCTGTTCTAAGTAATATAGAAAAAGTTTCGTTTCTCTACTGATGAGCTAATTAGGTTTGTTAATAATAGTGTCTGTGTTTTCCAGATTCTTAAGCCGCTAAAGCCACTTTTGCGTATAAAGGATCAACTTGCGAAGGATGCCGCTAACTTCTCTACAGCGAACCGAAATACTTCGTCATTGTGTGATAATTGGAACCTTTTTTGGTTTAATAAAAAACAGTTTTTTTATTCTAATTGACTTGCTCCAGACCATATTAGCATTTTGCCACCACAATATTGCCCCCTCCGTCTCGCCTATTATTTGGTGGTTGGTAACGGGTTTATTTGGACTCGCTGGTATCGTACTATTATCTTGGCAAATTCAAATAAAATGTAAACCCCTATTCAAGAAATTACGCCTTAAGGGACTGGCCCAACTATTTGCAGTGGAACTTTGCAAGTT